CAGACAAGCAGACAGACGGACGGACGGAGCGACATAGAGACGGGCAGGCGTGTTTGTTGCTCTTGTTGGCTTTCCTGCTGTTCAGCCACACTGCGTGTTAGTTTTTATACTCACGACTATGTGGGTGACTCGCAGTTTGGAGTTCGTCTTGTCTGCTGGTTGCTTTTTAAGTGGTTTTATCGTTTACTTGTTTGTATTTTATGTTAACCTACTCCACGGCTCGCTTTAACCCACATCAACTGTTGCCCGTTATTGGCCACTTTGTTGGCGGAGTCGACTGCGTGCAACTATGAAAACTGCATTATCCCCTTCAATAATAAACCTGCATTATTTGCTTGTTACTGTAGACCTAAGGCAATGGCTGAGCAATTGGGCTCGGCTTGAAGAGAATATTTAAATATTGAAATTTGTGCCATTATCAATTTTTAATTCAAGTTATGCCAAGTCTGAAATGTGTTTACAAATTGATTGCATTATGTTTACTATATTCACTTATATTTAATTTGCATTTAAGTAAATGTAAATGTAAATCACTATTGTTCTATAAATGGAAATGAAATAGTTTCTCTTGACATTTCGCATGCTAACCCTAATAGACTGCCTCAAGCTCTTCTAAATAATGTTCACAGAAAGCTATTTAACCTGTGCACAATTTGATTCTGGTTGGCCCTTTGCAGCACACAATCGTGTTTTAGTTATTCAGTTTGGTTTGTTGGCTTTCAGAAAAGTTGTTATTACCGTTTTGTTGTTGTTTGTAAACAAAGGAATAAATGTAGAAACACAAAAAAAATAAAACAAAACTAATAAATGAGCACTAACTACATATTGGAGTTTTTTTTTTTTTTGTGGAAAAGTTTTCATTTGAATTTAGTTTTAGATTTTTTTTTTCTGGCCACAATAATTGGATGAACATTTTTTTGGCTTGAATAATGTACTTAACATAGTTATTCTGTTAATTGGTAATCCAAAAAAGCTTTCAACAATTAGCTACAAATCTACTTTAGCAACTTGTGGTGTTTTGCAAACCGAGTTTATGCACTACAGACAAAATTCTCTTTAATATAGAAAATGTAATCGACTTACAGCATTGCAAAAGGCTTGTCGAACATCAAAGCCGATGCGCATGCATTGCAAGCAGCCGAGGAGGCAGTTACTCAAGTAATGAAACAGACGACGTCGGGTGGAACTTTTGCACTTACAGCCAGTACGATATATGCGATATTCATATATGTGTGTTTGCATGTCTGTGTGTGTGTGTGTGTACGGTAGGTATACTGAAGCCTGTTTTATGATTATGTGCGCTCTGCAAAGATATTCATGAGGTGTATGTCGGAATGGTCTTTTAAGTGTGCCTCCTGGCATATTAATTTGTGATTGCTTTGCTCACAAACACCTGCAGAACTTTTACAGCCGAATGCTTCCATAATAAGTAGTACACAGAGTCCTGACATTATGCGAGTTAGCTGTTCAGGATGCGAGCTGGTGGCACACACAGACTTCTGTTTACGTTTATTAAATGTGTGTGTGGGTGTGTGTGGGCGTGTGTGTGTGTGGGTGTGTGTACCTGCTGCACACATGATGTCCCAGAACATTTGCTTACACTTACTGTCAGTTGCCATGCATCTGTTCGAACTTTGTCTGTCAATCGGAGCAGAGCGAAGCAGCAGTTTGTTTAGACAGTTCATTTGATTTCATGCTGGATCAAATTTGATATCGTTCCATGTTGTTCAGGCAATTAGAAAATGAGCTGATTAAATGTCATGAGCTCAACCTTTCAAATAAGTTTCAATCAGTAAATTCATGCATTTCTATTTACAGATCAAGAGACTCTCCCCTCTCTATCTCTCTCTCTCTCTCTCTCTCTCTGTGTAGCAAATTTAAAGTTTAAAGTTGACATTTGTTTGCCAGCTAAGAGTTCCCTCCGCACAGAGCTATTCAGCTGAGTCCACCTCAACAAGAGCAGCTACAAATTAGCGCACTGCTGTTTAGAATTAAAAGCTAAAACCCGAAATGGCCAACTGCGATGCAGTTAATCACAGCGCCAATCGGCGTATTGTTGTCGTCATTGTCCTCATCGATGTGGTCGCTCTTTTCTCTGGCTGTCGCAATGGGACTGTGCAAGTGGCGTTCGCTTCGGCCATAGCCATAGCAATAGCAATAGCCATAGCCATGGCCATTACGAATGGATGTCAGCCGTGGCGCGCTTTCATTATGCCAAAGCAAGAGCTGCGAACACAGTTACAAACGGGCTACTGCGGCCACAGTCGGCTCGGCCCTATGAATGAGACATTTTCAGAGAATTTGTACGCATGGCATAATTGTTGCTGCGATGGCATTGGCATCGCTGTTGCTGCCCAGGCACAGATTAAATCGACGCTCCACAAGCGAACAAAACGGAAATGCAAAAATGGCACTAAGCTGCCAAATGAACCCGGCTCACGGCTCACGACCATTGCCCCGCATCAATGATTGCAAAAATGTGAACGCAGTTTACCGTAAATTTACAATTCGCTTGAATTTACAATAAAAGCCGTATAGTATTAAAAAAACAGAACAACAAAAAAAGATTTTTTACAACACGTTCAATTGGCAATAAATTAAATTTTCACATTTGCCACAAGTTTTCGATAAATCTCACACAGTTGGCCCGTATTTATAAGGGTTTTAACAATAACATTTTAAAAGCTGCATCGATGCAAATGTTAATCCACTTATGACATCTTAATTAGAAATTTATACTTGTAAAGTTGCGCATCGATGAATATGCTAATTCAATTATGATATCCTAATGTGAGAACTGAGATGGAAATGATTTCCAATGATAATTTCTTAGTCAGCTGCTATTTAATTCCTATTCAAAATTTATTCTTGTTGCTTAGCTCTAAAATAAATTGTCCAAGAGCTAGAGACTCCTCTAAGTGCTGGGGCGAGCACCGAGCACGGCGAGAGCTTAATAATTTGAGTATATTCAAATGGTATTCATTACGCAGTCAAAGCTGTGCACCATTTCCGCTGATATAACAATAATCCAGCATAATGAACACATGCATATTCATAACACACAGACCGAGTGTACCAGCACACACACACGCACACACGCACACACACACTCACACACTCACATTGGGGTGTACAGGTGTGTGCGTGCTACTCGTGCCTGCATGTGACATAAATCTTGGGCATATAAATCCGGCAAGAGGAAAAAATGTATACGTAAAAACTCCAGCATACGCAGAAGACAGCAAATGAAAACTCACGCGCAGCTGTAAATAACCCAAAAGGGGGCGTGGCAGCTGCTTGGCATAGCAATCATGAACACCTAGCCTAGCCGCCCATAAACGCAACTGTCGACGGTTTTTGCATTTAAATGTGCGCAATTTGCTCTGAGCGTGCAAAAAAAGCAAAGAGGAAGAGGAAGACGAGGGGGAATAGTGAGGGAAGAACTGACTGTTGCCTACTTGGCCGGGCAAGTTAAGAATATGGTGTTAACGGATGTGAAACATGTGCGATCCTCACACTCCAATTTCTACCAGCAACAGGAACACGAACAAAAAAAAAAAAAACCCGAAAAGAAGAAATGAATAACGAAATCCGTGCTGGCAGCGGAAGCACAAAATGAAAATGATAATAACAATGCTGCGGCGGGAGTTCAATTATTCGATATGCCACGATTTGCATGGTAAGCATTTCATTTGACAGCGGAAGCTCATTAGCGTCGGGCGAGAAGAGCAGGCTCCCGCAGACTCCCGCACAACAATCGAGAGTCGAAAATGTGTGCGAGTCGGCAGAAAATAAAAAAAAGAAGTCCTAAACACTTAATTTGAAAGCAGAAAGGCGAGGCACAAAAAGAAAAATCACAATGTAACCGCTGAGATTCACTTATTTCATTTGTATTTTTGTCAAGTGTATGGCTCTATGGGAGAGTGAGAGTGAAAGAGAGAGAGAAAGAGAGAGAGAGAAGTTAACTACATGACAGCCATTAGGGAGCATCAGCGAGATTTATTTAATAATTTAGCCCGAGCTGAATTCATTATAATATGATTTATCAAGTGTCTAGTATAAGTGGTAATATCTTTAATTTTGGCATCATCCATATCAGAACTAATTCGATTTGAGCAGCATGTGAGGCGGCAGCTCTATTCAATTAAGCTGGACATTTTGTAGCCACGGCAACCGAGTGTGGACATTCTCGCCTTTGTCCTTTGCAATCGCTTTCGACTGCTGATGGGACAATCCAGCGCAGCTTTATTCAACATTAATTACGCTCGCGGTTGCAATTCGATGGGGATATATGTATATTCATTTATATATATATATATATATGTATATATATTTTTGTGATTCCTTTTCGTTTCGGTGCGCATTTAAATCACTGCCACAAGCTCTTGGCCCGTACAGCTTGATACGTACGTCCATCATAGACGTCGCTTTGGCGCCCGCCAACCACATCAGGCTGCACAAAAAAACGGGACTGTGGCTACGTAATCCACTTGGCTGCCAAATGCAGTCTTTGCCTCAATTGAATTGAATAATTTGTAGTGCTCGATGTATGTGTGTGTGTGTGTGTGTGTGTGTGTGCGTTTTATATGCTCTTAACTTTTGATTGCCCTTTTTATTGCAGTTAGTGCTTTGTCGCTCGACCAATTTGAATAAAAATTATATTTTTCTATTAGCTGAACATGATTACCTGCGTTTTATTTTATGACTGACACTTTACGGTTTAGGTTTAATTGCAGTTTGCAATTTGTTTTTAATATCCACTTTTGCGTTTCCTGCTTGACGAATACAAATCTAGATAAAAATGCCAATTGGGGTTTATGAAAGGGAATGGCAAAGAGAACCCATTTAGAGATGATAAATATTTAGACTAAAAATATAATTAAAAACCTTTTATATTCAAACAATATAAAACGCATTTATGAGGTCTACTAGGCTCTCGAAATTGTTTAATATTTTTCCATTTTGAAATTTCTACTCTACTCATATTTTAGCTTCAATAATGACGTATTTAAGAGAAACATTGCCCTAGCTTTCAATAGTTTAGCTTTCAGACATATTTACAACACATCGTATCGTACGATAACATAGAATTATGGGGGATACAGAGCAGAAAAAGATAAGTGTTGATATGCTTTGCGAGGTTTGGGAGCAGAAGCAGCGCAAATTCGAAATGGACATTCGAATGCTACTCGACAGCGCTAAGCACTTGGCTGTGCAGCTTAGCCAGACTATTGAGTCATCGGCAGAGCCAATTGACAGGATACGGTCACAGCAGCAGTTCAAGCTAAATTACTTGATGATCCACTTGACAGAGGAGCTGCAGCGGCAGAACGACAAAGCCGGTGCCAAACGGCGGCTGCAGGAGTGGAACAAGTCCCTGGACAAGATGCGCCTCAAGATCGCTGTACTGTCAGAGAGCCTGTCCAAATTGGGTCTAGTCGATGTCTTGGCCATGAAGAAGCTGTGTGAGCTACCGGATAATTCGCAGCAAAACTATGAGAAGCTCAGCCAGACGCTGCAACACTGCGAGGCCATGCGAGCTGAGCATCTGAAGGCTCTCATCGGCCACGTGCACACGGAGATCAACGAGTGGTGTGATCTCACCTTGCAATATCCGAGTGCTCGGAATTATCAGAAGGACTGTTGCACAGTGGAACTGCTGGAGTTGCTAGAGGAGCAGCTGAAGGACATTAAGGACTATTACAATGCCAATAAGGCAATCTTCGAGGTGTACGCCAAACGCGCGAGGCTGTGGATGCGCATGGAGGCGCTGGACGAGAAGGCCAAGAAACCCAATCGCTACCAAAATCGAGGTGGCGCCCTACTGCGGGAGGAACGGGAGCGCAAGGCAATTAATATTAAGCTACCTAGGATAGAGCAGCAAATAAGGGAACTGGCGCAGGACTATGAGCAACGCAATGGACAACCGTTTCTGGTGCAAGGCGAGGATATATTGGCACGCATTGCAAACGAATGGGAGGATTATCGCATGGCCAAGGAGCAGCAAAGTGCAGCACGAAAGAAGACAGCTTCCGACAATCTGCTGGAGCCCCTGAACAACTCGGCCCGTTCCGGCTTTATATCGCTACGCAAGACGACATCGGTCCCATATTTCAACTCCACAACGGTCAGTCCCACATGGACTGCGAAGCTCCAGCCAGAGAAGAGGCAGAGGGAGCGTTCTAAATAGTTTCAATTTTTATAGGCACTAGCTCGCCTCGAGCGAGCACTGTGAGTTAGGTCGGTTTTTCAGTCTTTTATACAAGTCGAATTATAAATTGGTTGTACAGGGTTTTGTCAATACAACTTATAATGTGGACATTAACTAGTAAGGTAAAAGCCGGCGCTATGCAAATAAATGTATTAGAAAGCAACAATTGAACTCGAGGCGGACTTGCATAGACAATGAATTGAATTTATGCAGAGTTTTTAAATATTCCCTGTTCGATTTTAGCCACAAGTACGACAGCTGGGCTTCTATAATTGTTTGCCTCAGCTAATCCATCCGTGCCCGCAACACACTTGGAGACCTTCAAATTGGATATCGCTAAGCTGTCACTCAGCCGTTTTGACAGGCATTTGGCAATTTCAGCGTTGGCCACTAATCCAGAGAAGCGCGGCTTAATTACTTCCAAGCAAATTGAGGCCATAAATAAAATACGGCAAAGGCGCCGCTGAAACGAGAACTTCGGCGCCCGATCAATGCGAATTCTTGGGTGTTGGTAAAACAGTCGAAGTTAATGCCTATATTGATAACTTAAGCTGCAGTACACACAGATATACACACCCATATATATTTCCCTCAGCTGCATGGGCACTGAGCAGCACTGAGCAGTTCACTCCATCAGCAGTCGAATTGTGGCCGTGACTTGTGTTAGGCTAAGTCGTATCGATTCGGCTTTTGATTGATACATAAGTTGGTTTTCATGCCAAACTGGCCAAAAGCGCACACGCGCTGTCTCGGGCTGTTTATTTGATTAGGCCAACACATAAATCTCCCCAAATGAAGTTGGTAAGCTCGCGCGTCTGGCTCAGCGTATCAATTTTAATAAATTTACACATGGTCCGCCATTAATTTGAGTTAATTTGCAATTTTTCATGCCTACCGCATGACACTTGGTTGCCACGCCCACGTCAGCCCGTGCATCTGGCCCACCTGGTTATCTTTTGCATACGCCAGCCGTACATCAATGACACACAGGTGAGCAGACAGCGCCGTAAATATCCACGGAGGCAGGCAATATGTTCACACGCACACGATTTCAGCGCCTGAGCGGTTTTAGGCTTCCGCATTTGGCCTTAGTCCTCCTGATTTTCCGGCCCCCCGCCTCCTCCGCCTTCTCCGCCTGTGCAGCACATTCAATGGATCATAAATTCTCCAATGTGTCGTAATTCTTCAACCCAACTCTCCATATAGAGCGGTGCCGGAAGGAGTGGAGGGAGCGGAAGGAGCGGATGGAGCAGTGCCGGGAGCTACAAGTTATTCGGCTTATTGGCGCTTAGCAGCAGCGATTTGGCTAATAGTTGGCAAAACTTTCGCAGTCTGCAGCAAAAGACATTCAACTTCCACTGGGCTAAATATTGAAATTGTCAAAACTTTGCCAGCAGCTTCAGCCACTGCCGCTGCTTACTCAACTCAACCCGGAAAAAAATATCGAGAACTCGAAAGCTCCGCCAATTATTACAGGTTCATCCGAGCGGATACTTAGGAACTCCTTTCGGACCATGAAAAGTACAAGCTTTTATTTGATGTTTTTTTTTTTTTATTGAAGGACTCTATTATGATGGCTTGACTGAATTATGTGATTTATGTAATATTGTTTTGGGGCGCTTCCTAAAGGGATTGAAAAATGAAAAGTAAACCGAAATTTATGCGTTCGTCGCAACTTTTGCGATTAGTTTTTAGCTGGTTGCGTGTTGCCGGGCTTAATGTGCGGCAGTGTGTTAATAAATTTGCCGCGGGCGGAATCCATAGCCGAACGCAGCTCGAGAATAGTTAAAATTTCCATCGTAGTCGCTCAACTAATTTGAAATTAATTAAGAACCTGTCACGAACAGATGGGGGCTGATGAGTGGCAATGGCCAGGGGGCGTGGCACAAGGCAGAAGGCACATTCAGCGTGAAGCCATAGCGAATTTACACGCGCGACGTTCACGTGTTAAGTATACGCATTGTGTGGCATCGACGATGGAAAGAATTCCATCTGCCGGAAATTACCAGGTGAGTCAACAGTTCTGTTTTCCTCTTTTTTTTTCGCTCTCATATTCTGCGGCTCCATTATCAAGAAAACCTTTTAAAACGCATAACAATAACGAAAATTTGAAAGAGATAAAAGACGTACGTGGGCCGGCAACGGAAATGATTATATCTCCTTGCGAGCTGGCGCCAGGTGGAGGGCCTCACCATTCATTGTGTTGGCAGCAACGTTGTTGTCATTGCCTTCCATTGTTCCATTGCCATGCCATTGCAATTTTCATTTGGGAGGGGCGGGTGTCCTCCACTGGCCGCCGTCCTCCACTTGCGCCGTTATCAGTGACAAACGGCCAGGTCGTAAACTGTGAGAGCGAACCGGAGAAATCAAGCAACACGAGCACAATTTACACATTTAAAATTCAAATAAAGTCATTTGCATGCAGACACAATGAGTAGAGCAGTGGACCAGCCACCGAGCCACCGAGCCACCGAGCGGACAAGCTGGACAGCCCGAAAGACCGACAGGCGGACAGGCGGACAAGCTGGACACTGTCGCTCCATACATATGCGACTATTTTGACCGTCTGACCTTTGCAGCGCGGCCCAGGCACCCACCGAAAAGGCCGTCTGCTATTTTTGCTTTATATACATTTGTCATCATTAGTCCCCCGGCCTAACAAGACTGTCAAAAAAGAAAAAAAAAATAGAAGGTGGGCAGGATAATGAAATGGCAGCTGTATGGTGACTAGACCAGAATCTGCTATCAGACGGGCTAGCAACAGGGAGCTATTCTTGTTTTGGGTCAATGCTCAACAGGGGTGGCTAAAACTGTACAATTCTCCCAAAAAAACACCGAATGTTTATCAAAACAAAAAGCTGCAAATTACAGAAAACTCACTGAACTATAAATCACTAAAAACTTTGACCTTTAATTCAAATTAACATAGCAAAGCGATTTTTGCGTAAGTTATCCTGTGAAGCGGGGGCGAATTTAACAATTTCACATACATCTCAAATTAAAGTCAGCCAGCGAATTGCTACACATGCAGAGCGAATATTTAATTAATTGAAACGTAAAACAAGTGCCAGACAAATATTGAGTTTGTTGCGTTGAAATGCATTTAAGCAAATATCAACTACTATTTGTGATGACTCTGCTGACTGCTGACTGGTGACTGCTGACGGCTGACACATTACTGTCCGTCCGTAATGGCCATTTGCAATGATTTATTAACTGACTCCATTGAGACTTTCAACTATTTTGACCATTTTTCATTTCTCATTTCGGTTTGGCTTTTAGCCCGCATGACTTCGGCATGCCAAAAGGCTTTCTGACAATTTTGGCTAGAAAGCAAATATTATTTTTCTACTTTTCTCCATGTGGCACGCACAAAATATGGAAAATTCAGTTAGACTGGCCCAGTGTCTGGGGCCATGTCAAAAACTTTTCACTGAACAGAAGTATATGTGTCTAACAGATAGGCATACACAAACACACACACACACACACAGACAGAGAAAACACAAACAGAACAACGAGTAATACTCGCACACCCACACACACACACACACACGTTTTGAGTTTGTGTGCCTGTTTATTCAATCAACAAACAGCAACTTGATAAGAGTGGAACAGGAACTCAGACGCAATGCGAGAAGCACATGACAAACGTTAGATGACAGTTGCCATGTTGGAAAATGTCCCAACTGCACATACAAGCGTGCCTCTCTCCCACTCCCTCTCTCTCTGTGCGTGTGTGTGTGTCTGCTGGCACAAAAGTTGCTTTTTTTTACATTTGTGCCAGGTGTCTTGTCAAGGCTCCAAAAAGTTTTTCTGCCATTTAAATCATGTCAGTTTATCTAAGCAACACCTAACAATCCACCCTCGGCAACAGTTGCCACGCCCACACGGTACGCCCCTCCGCATAGGCCCCTTTTTATATTGTGGCCACAACATTTTCCGCTGTTTTTGGCATCTTGTCAAGTTTACCATCAGTGGGCAACATTTTCAGTGTGTGCTTCCCCTTGTTCGCTTTGCCTGACTTGCAATTTCCATTGCGTGCAGAGCGGACATAAAACATTTTATCCTCCAACTTTTATTTCTATACAAAGTGCGCTTAGTAGTTGCTTCGCATACAACTGCAGTTGGTCATTTCGATTTAGTGAGTTTTTTAGCGTATTTTTTTTACGGTGCTCTCAAAAGTCTTTTATGATTTAACGAACTACAAAAGCAGTCGATTTTTTTTATTATTTTTTTTTTTTAGTTTAAACAAATTCAAATGCAAATAATGATAATTTCCATTGTCCGCGCAAATAACACACAGCACAGTCAATTATTTTAATTGGAAATTGCATGAGCAGCAGGATATTAAATAATTGAAAACATTTTCGCAACTTGGGAAATTGGCAGGCGCAATGCATTGATCAACAATTGCTAATTAAACAGAAACAGTTAATTACTCAGCTTACAGTGTGTGCATTTGTGCTGCTGATGTTTGTTGAATTAATTTCAGAGTTAGCCCCGTAATTGAACAATAAATATGACCATGTTAAATGTTGTAAATATAAATGGAAGCTCACAAAACTGTCGACGCTCGGAGAGAATGCCAGCTGAACAGCTGAACAGATGAGACAGCACTGTAATCAACTGAATGTGCGACAAATGTATGGCTGTCTGAGAGAGAGAAGACACACTCACTGGCATTTAAAATTAATTATACGCCGAGTGTGGCAGCCAACAGCTATGCGTCATTCAGTTAAGCGCCTCATTTGCTGACCCCGCCCAGCCCCGCCCGGCCCCACCCTGTCCTGCCCGGGAGTGTCTTCTGTCGAGCTGCAGCTCAGAAATGCAGAAAGCAAACTGCAAAAATGTATGACCGCATTTGAAATTCACTTTAGTATCTAATTAATGTGAGCCGAGACTTCATTTGCTTTGTTTTATGGTCAGTTGCGTGGCTCTTGTTTCTTGCTTTGGCTTTATAGCCGCGTTTAATCAGTTCATAACTTGCTCCCATGCCTCGCCTCTATTACTATTATTTATACAAAATCAACTCTGATTCTAGGTTGGAGAAACTAATTATGACTCATGTTAATAAACATAGCTAACGACTTGGCTTGTCTTTAATTGTTTTACTTATGTTGAGCTGTGCGCAGAGTCGACTTGAAGGACATTTAAAAAGA